CAACCAACCAACCAACCAACCATATCAACCAACCAACCAACCAACCATATCAACCAACCAACCAGATCCAGAACCAATGTCGAATTTTTTCACAGATGAAAAATTATTTTTCTGCGCGCTTAGAGTGCTCAACGAGCATGCCAATGATCCAGCTTCGATCCCGGGCACCGGCGGTCAAAGTTTATAGCACTCTAATCTCAGACTTTTCCTGATAGTCCTGAAAAAAAGACGACTGTACCAGGACAAGTTTTGGTAAATGTGTAGAAAAGGGCCACCAAATAATATAAAACCAGGTTTTTGCCCTCGAATGAGGTTTTTCCCTTCAAAAAAAAAAACAAAAATCATATAGACCTGAAAGGGTATACCAGAAAGAAAAAGTTCATTTTTTTTTTGTTATTTTTTTTTATCAATTATTGAATGTTTTCGATCCATTCTACAAAAAGGAAAGTTCGTACCCTTCATAGATATGTTCTAGATGAAATATTGTTTGGAAAACAATGATTAAATATTATCACGTTGTTAATACACCAGATTTGACATGCATTTTCAAACTTTTCGTTCCTACATTCCCCGCACTCGATGCCAAATTAAAATGCACAAACTTCTCACAATAAAAACGGAATCTAGAGTCTAGAATAATTAAATTTATGATGATAAAGTCGAAGAGTGGAATCATCGAGGCCAAAATGAAGTTTATTTAATTCAGTCGCAATCCATCTTGAGAGCTGGAACTTCTAAAAAGCTAGCTGATGCAGCTGTCATACCGAACACTCTCACCAAAATTTATTCAACGCATGAAACTGAGGGTATTCTAGATTTTTTCCAAGAAAAGATTAAGAACAAATCTAGGGCTCAGTCCCAAGGAAGGACAATCCAAAAAATCGTTGACTTTTTAACAAAGAACTTGGTCTTTTCTCATCGAAATGGGAAAATTCAGATCAATAGAATCACTTGAATATCGAACAGATGTCCTTTGTTTACTGTCATTTGTCGTCATCAACATTTCGCTCGGTTGATTACGATAATAACGCATCATCATCGGATAACACCGACCCTCGGTGATTCATCAAGAGCCAGTGAATCATCGGTAGATATGAGCAAGTCGGGTTTTTCAGAACTAATACATGAATATTAAAAAAATGACATGTTTCGCTTTAGCCTCTAATTTTTGCACTACAAAAGAGGCTCTAATTTCAAGACAATAATTTTTGCGATTCTATACAAATTATTCTTCATTCGAAAAGTTTTCTTCAATATATTTTTCAATACAGTTTGAGAATCACGAGTAATTTTTATGGAATAGCGAAAACAATTATGGAATTTTGAATATAATTTTTTTGCGTTCAGGAAAATTATCTGGATCAGAGGGAATCGGAAGATCGGCAAATGATGGAACAGACTGATTTCGATACTCTTGTTATCAGTGTTAAAAATCTACACACGGTGATTTCACTATTGAAGGTTGAAGAATTGGATATTATCGTGTCCACGCTGACAGCTCTATCGAAATTCATTAGAAAATCGGTTGAAAATATCACTGTTCTTTTGCATTATGGGATTCTGGATGACGTTGTCTCCCTCGTTGGACACGAGGCTTCCATAATTCGAAGGTTTTTCTTTAAGAAGACTTAAAAAAAAATTATAAAATAGAATTCATTCGGTATTTGCCGATTTTAGAGGAAATCTTCCTGCAGGTTTGCCTCGGATCTTCTCGCTGGATTGACGGTATTAGAATCCACTCGAGCCATGATCTTAAATCATGAATCAGAGAAAAACCATCTCCATCGGTTTATTAATATTCTCCACAACGAGTCAGATCTCGCAGCCCAGGAAAATCTTTCAAAAATTCTTCGAAATTTCGCAGACGATATTTTTGCTAGCTACCAAATCCTGGAGAGTCCACATCTTAACAGTCTTCTGATTGGTCTCCAATCGGTGGATCCAGATGTGAGAGGAAATTGTCTTGAAATACTTGATAAATTGATGGCAAATCCCATCGCTGTTAACAGACTTTCCTCGTTGAAGGTTCGATCGAATTTTCGGTTAATTTAAAAATGTTTGAAACGATTTAAACCCCCACTGTCTTCCCAGGAATTTAATTTCGATTTATTTTATGAAGTGGACTTGGATGAGAGTGGGAGTGTCCCTGAGACATCTTTGTATCTCATAAAAAATTTTCTCATCCGGAGGGAAAACGAGAAAATCCATCGAGAGTTTCGTGATTCCGAGGGATTGGAGAAACTCCTGGAGATCTTCCGTGTGAGTAATGCGGAAAATTACAGAAACGCACAAATTAAAGTCCCGTAATTTATGCATGTATTTCTGGGGATCTCTAATTGTTCTTGTCGATTTTTTATTTCGTAGGATTATAACTGGGAGGATCTCCATCTTCCGGTTGTCGAGGTGCTGGTTGTCGCCACTGGAAATTACAAAACGGCCGAGTATTTCTGCTCTTTGATAAATTCCGAGGAAGTGTCAGAGCTGATGAATTTGAGAGATCCAATTGTCATGCAGTTGATGGCTAATCTATCAATGGTACCTGAATTCAAACGGGTAATTTATCCAACTGTAGATTTTTAAAGGTGTTCTACTCCATAAAAAATCGTCAGATCGTCCATAAAAGATCGTCAGAAAAAAATCCAAAAACGTCAATTTTGGCTATAGTATAACTGTATTATTGCAGATCCTCCAGGATTTTGGAGTAGTCCAGTTCATCTCGATGAACTTCGAGGGAGAATTAAATCCTGAAATAATCAATCCAATTAGCTCGATCATTGAAAATATCTGCCATTCGACAGCTGTGATGAACGAGTTGATAGAAATCAACGTGACAGGGCGATTAATTGGTACGAATTAAAATTAATTACAAATCACCTGAATTTTCTCATTTTCGGATCGACGACTCATTACAGAATTTTCCTCTAAATATTTCTTGTGAATTAAATCGTAGAATTTGCTGGAATTCGGTGCTGAATGTTCAGATTTTTATTAAAAATCCAAGCGTACTCCCGCATTTTCTAATTATATTTTCTAATTACATGTGATTATCATTACCATAATGAATGTTTCTCTCAAGAAATTCTCAAAGCAGAACACATCGACTGGCAGATGAAGGAGGACGCAATATTCGCTATCAAAGAGGTGATTTCCCGGAATCATAAAAACGGGCGATCGCTCATTTCCTCGAATGATCACTTGTCATTAATTGAAATCACCCAGAGAGATGTTCCAATGCATGTGAGACTTGGGCTTTTGAATGTTATAAATTCTCTGATCCTCAGGCCCAAATTCCGGAATTTTTTCGTCCACTCGGAGATCATAGAAATCCTCTCCAGATTTTTCAATGTAAAATTTTCTCTCTAGAATCTAGAGTCTAATCACTAAAGCGAGACAAATCGAATCCGATATTTTTATTAATTAACGACATATCTCGAGAACTATCACTTTAAGAGAGGAACACGTGAAGAACTTTTTTGAAGCTAATTAAATTTCCTTCGATGAAGGTCATTTGATATTTCGTCCGAAAATCGATAGTTCCCGAGATTTATCCGTTTTTAATTAAATTTTAAGATTCGACTTATCCCCTTTACTATTTTTCCACTCAATTTTATGATTATATTTTTTTAATTGGATGATTATTCCTTTTGAATGATTTTTTGAAGGAACAAGTGGCGGATGAACTCAAAATATGTACCGTATCAATTTTATCTCATCTTTTCATCGAAGAGGAAGCGAGAACGTTATGTCTGAAGACGAATTTTCTGGAAAGACTCTGTCAGCTGATCTGCACGGAACAGTCACTTCCTGTTCAATCATGTGCTGTTCAATTAATTCAACAATTGTGCTGCGATGAGATATTGATTGATGAGTTCGTTAGAATAGGATATCTAGATGCGTGAGTCTTGTAGCAGAAAGTATATATTTTCCTGAATACATAAAAAGATACATAAACCAAGTATTTTTTTTTATTAGAAAAATAATTTGAAGAAACATTTGTTTCCTCGATTTGTTCTAGATACTTCGATTTTGGAAAATACTTTTTTTTTTTGTTATGAAACCATTTTTAATGTTTAAACAAATATTCTCTGGATGATTTCGGGTTTTCTCCGCCTTTTTAATTCATTCTGCAATTTTTTATTGAGTTTGTTAAAGAATCGTCGGGTTATGCGAGATATAATTCCGTCGTGGGAGACGTGCCTCCAGACGATGCTGTCGGGGCACTTGCCTTTAAAATTTGCAGTCATGGGTCGTCTTTCATTGAATGACATCACTAAAAACGGATTCTACGTGGAGAAGAGACACTGTCACACGTGAATATCGGATTTAATAAAAAATTCATGCTGAAGGAATTTTACATATTTGATTTCCATCTAGGTTTCCCTCGCTGAAAGAACTGTTGGCGTCCAGGTGCAGTCCTATTCAATGTCTCTACACAGTTAATTTTTCGAATGAAAATATCTCTCGACTGATCTCCGGTGGAAGTGATAGCTCTTTGTACTGGACTGATGCCTTCGAGGACAATGACAGTAATAGAATTTGCTCCTCGATTTCCCTCACTTGTGCTGAAAGATTTGGACAGCTCTCGCCTGATCCTCTGCTGTGCCAAAGTCTCAATATGTTCCTGCGAATTCTTCGGACGAGTGAAGAAACCGAAATGTAATAATATTTCTAAGTCAAGGACAACTTTTGTCATGTGTTCTAACAATAAAATGATCTCTACAGATCTTTCGTTGATGATGAAGATGCGATAGACATCAGCAGAATTGAATCGAGGGCGAAATTGCTGGGAAAATTTGTCGCTCACAAATTGTCTGATGTGAATGAATCGGGTGAGTGCATGTCGGATAAATTGAAAAATCATCTCCAAGAGCTGCGAGAGACTCTGGAGACCAGTATAATTCCTATCGGGACATTGCGATTCGGTTCATATCTGGAGAGAGCTGTGCTGTTTAAAATTATCGGGGACAGAATTGGTCTGCCTGTAGCCCTGGTTCGTGGAGAGTACGGAAAATCCTGGGTGGAGGTGCCTCTTCCTCAGTGTCATAAGGAATCCTCTAGGAATCATCTGCCAAGGAGATTGCTAAGACCTAATTACATCGTGGATTTGATGGATAATCCTGGGGATATCATTCACGTCGACAGTAATCGAGCTCGACAATATTATGAATATCAACCACTTGGTAAAAATGTGGACTAAACCAAATTTCAACTTGAAAAATAAAAATTTGGAAATTCCGAGAATTTTCCTCTTCATTGCCTTCAAGAAAGTGTTATGAAAATATTTTTGGAAATTCGGATGATTATCTTTTCCGCCCAAATTTCAGCCAATAGAATTGCACCATTCGATGAAGCTACTCGGTATCATACTGAGTATTTTTCGAATATTTTGTCTCTTACCGATATATATGAGATAAAAAACTGTTGGATCGTGTCAACCGCTGATTAGAATTAACAGATTGAATTTAATTGTGCCATTCATTGAGTGAAATATCTTTTCCCGTCTTTTAAAATCTCTTTTTTTAGTTGAAACATTTTTTCTCATTTTTTAAATACAGAGTTCGCCTCATGGTGCCATTCCATCGGCTGAAATTTGACTGAAAAAAATAATCCCCCGAATAAGACTGGAGTTTCGAAATTAATCGGACATTTCCCTCTAGGCCCCGTGTAAACAAACGAGTTTATCAAGTGTTCCGATTTAAAAAATCACAAGCGCAAAGGGCGAGTGTTTTTTTCTGGAAAACGACCGTTCATTTTTTTCAACGAGCCTATCGGAAAATATCCGATAATTTCAAAGCTCTAATGTTATTATAAGTGAATAGATATTCTAGAATTTCTAGAAATATTATTTTTCCAGCAGTAGAAATGCGTTCAAAAAATAAACAAAAAGAACTTCTTCACTACATAATCACATAATTAATAGCATTACAATAGATACAACAAATTTCGTCACTAAAAACAATACTCGTATCAAAATTAGTAGAAAGATCATAAATAAAGGTAGAATTAATCGTACAACTATAGAACTGGTGTAGTTTGTGGATGCAACGAGCTGTTGTGTTTGTTTTGATTTTGGGTTTGTCTATTATCACCTAGTTTAACGAGACCGAAGAAACTTTTATCGGGTTGGAACAGGGTATATCTCGCAGGGCCAACTTCTTTCAAAACAATACGATCGCTCGATAACAGATAAGTCACTTGAGATGAGAAGCACGATCTACTTTTGTGGCCATTCCCAGGGCTGTAGACCTATGAAAAAAAAAATAATAAAATGTACTCAAATAATTGGTTGGAATATTGAAATAAATATTATCCGAGATATTTAGTTGAATCTGACAATTAATTGAGCCAATTATGGCCGAATATTGAACCAACACTGTGCCAACCTTGCACCAACCTTACACCAGCATTGCACGAACATTGCACCAACATTGCACCAACATTGGAGTAACTTTGTAGCAAGAAAGCAATAATAATAAATGATGATGCAAAATGAACACTACATTGTAAATCACAACTGCTCATTAATTCGTTAATGGAACAATGAAAAAATGGAACATTATTGATTATTGATGATCATTTATCGTTTTAATTTCCCCGATTTTTTTCGCTTTAATGAAAGACGGATACAAACCATGCACTGTAGAATTGGTCGCCCATTGACGAGCAAATGGAATCCATTCTCATCATGCTCGTCTAGGTAATGAATCTGGGCATAAACGAGATAGAGCCCAGTCTCATGAACAGTTAATCTTCCATCTGTGGCTAGAGAGAAATACCGATTCATTCCAAGATCATCCATCCAATCGCTGCTCCTCCAAGCCTTGAAGATGCCCTCGTTGTGCCTGGCACGACCGTTCCCCGTGTGCTCGTCATCACCTTGGAAAAGGGTGCTGTCAGCACCATAATGTGCAGCAAATATCTGACGGGATGGACGGATGTGTCTGCGAGACTTGCCCCTCGTCTCCAGGGATTTCTTCAGATCGTGCTTCTGGAGGTAACACCAAAAAAATGTCAACTCAATTTTATTTCTATTCGATATCGACTTGAACTATTGATTATCTATATATTATTATCAAAAATATGGACAGACTTTTTTGTAGGATAATTTAATCGACTGCAAAAAAACTTTTTCAACATTTTACTTCACCTTTTGCTGCATCCTGAGACGTCTGTCATCGTGATATTTCTTGGAAAACATCACACCACCAGGATTTGCCCTTGTCGATTGTCTGTTCGTATCATCCTGGAGACTTGGTGATCCAGACCGGCGAAATGCTTCACTATTCAAAAAATTCGGCGGTTCTTCCGTTATGAATCGTTTGATCTTGGCGTGTTGTTCCTTGGACTCGTCTTCACCAGTCTCTCCAGGTTCAGGATGACTCCATAAAATTGTTTCATCTCCCGCAATTGGTACCGATCGTGATGTTACCGCAGATTGACTCCTCATTGATGACGTTGTTTCATAATCGTTTTCGTAATTATTCGAATTTGCGTCGTAGTCGTCGTAATTGGAGTTGTAATCGTCGAGATCTGTGTCATTGAAATCATCTTCGTCGGGGTACAACTGATGATTGAATTAATTAATGAATTGAATATTAAAACGATTGGTTTATAATAGGTAATTATTGCTAAATTAATATCTCTAAATATTCCAATTAAAATTGTGATCTGCTATCGAAATGACTATCATGAGTAAACGATAATAATTTCACTCAATTAATAATAACAATTCTTTTAAATTTTATTGTGTATTTTCGTAAATTCGAAACATGAGAGTAAATTTTTCTGTCAATTATTACTCGAAAGAAAGGAAATAATTGGTAATAATTGATAATCACCTGTTGCTCGAAGGCTCTGATTTCCTCCAGAAGATTCTCCTCGTAGATCCTCTGCTTGAGGTTCTGGAGATCGGCTTTGATCGTTTCAATATCCCTCGCATTATTCACTATCTTTTTAATCTTAATCGCCTCAAACGCGAGACACACAATTGCAAGACAAATTGCCAACAAACTCAACAGCATCTGGCGATTTATTTTTAAACATTTAGACGTTTTCCTGGTGATACCTTGCTCAATGTCCGATTGGGAAACATTAAGATTTTCTCGTGAAAAATTTAAAAAAGCGCGAGTCGAGTCATCACTTGGGGATACTTTCTCATTTCTTTGACCCTTGACCCGAACTTTTCGGTCAATACCCGGTATTACTGAGGTCATTTTGTCCATTGTCTGGGGTAATATACCGCTTGTGAAAATTTGTCGCACTTTTTTAATCAATCGATCGATACGATCGGTTCGATCACAGGCATCTGGGGTGATGGGACTTTAGTTTTCAGGATTATCTTCGCATTTGGATTATTTTTATTTAGTTATTTCACATTTTTGGGGGGAGCAATTATTTCAGGTCACATGATTTTTTTATTGAAATCGGATGAGTACGTTCTGCCGGCGACGCGGACGAGTGTCGACTGATCCCGGGATGATTTCACTATTTAGTCTTCAGTCTCGGATAGTCTTTTACCATCTCTCCCCACGGAACACGAAAATCCATGCTGACGTATCATTACCAGCGGAAAAATTTTATTGAATTTATCCCATCCACCAGGACACTTCCGGGAATTTTTCTAGGATTAGACTTTTCGGAATTTCCTCTGGAATTCCATCCGACACTTTCTCCTCGAATTTCGAGCAATTTTCGCAGTAATTATCTCTAATAGCATGAACAATCCGCATTGAAAATTTTATTTTGGTAAATTATCTAGTGAAAATTCATTAAACAGTCAATCATTGGACTTCTGGTTCTTAGGAATGTTCAAGGAATTCCTATCTATTGGAATTCCGTTCTTACAGGAAAATGCATGATACGGTAGATTATGCAGACAAATAAATCAATCATCAATTCTGAAAAGAATAAAAAACCATCAGTTTTTAATACACAGTATTGATTTCTAAACTGATTGTAAATTGAAACCAATTTCGTGACTTTTTCTAGCTTTAACTATTTAATTTCTCTAAAAAAAATTGATAAAAAAAAGAGAGATTCTGTTAAAATGTTTTGTGGGACCCGCCCCTTCTGTAGTAGTCCTGTAGTCCCCACAAATGTCTTCATTTGCGTCAGGTATTTCCACATTATCGTAATGGATTTTCCGGGTTTTATCAGCAAAGTTAAATCAGCTAATTAGAGAAGTCATGGAGGAGTGGGAGTTTTGGTATAACGTATGGAAGAAAAAATAAAAGTTGATGGAAAAGAAAATATTGTTTTTGCAGCTAATTAATTTAAGTAAAAGTTTTCAGATCGATTAACATTCAACAAATGGACAATTAGGCGTGTGTAATTGGGTTGTTATATTTTTTTTTGTAATTATGTAGATAAAATAGAGAATAATTTTGGGATTTTGTGGAGATATTGCAGAGTGCAATTGTGGAGACATGATGAGAGATATTGATGATGTGACTGGTGGAATACTTGACTTTGAAGCGAAATTAGGATTTCCTGGAATAAGGCCAGTTGCCTCTCGCCCACATACATAAGTTTATTAAATACGTTGAGTATAATTAGGCATGCTATGTACTCGAATAACTCGTGAATGATGTCAGATGATCGTATCACATTCTCAATTCTCACCACGTATTTTTAGGAGAAATAAATCACGGCGGATTGAATTGCATTATCAACATTTTGTTATCGATTAATTGTTTCGGGGATTACTGTGAATGAGTACAACTTTTCGTTGACGAGGCGTGTCAAGTTGTATTCGAAGAAGTTTTTTTTACCGTGAGAGTTTCTCGGTTAAATAAGTTCCGGACCGAGAGACTTGATCTCCATTTGTGGTGGCATTTTAGTTTCAGTTTTGTCGGGGTATCTTGGAAACTAATGAGTTTACGAGAAAGTGCATTCGGGCTTTTTTGAAGATCAGGGCATTTTGGAGGAAAAATGGTTATGAGATTTTTGTGTAAATTTATTGGATTATGAGATATTAAGAAAATACTCGTGTTTTTTCTTGGTCTTAGTAAAACTAAAGCCCAAGAATTAAGGCAGAATGCTTTTCGTAATAACTCGAAAACTGTTGAATTTAGGAAAAAATGTTATGGAACTTTTTTCAAGCTCGGAAAATGCCCAACAAAAAATGATTATGAATTTTTTTTGTAAATTCATTAGTTTCTGAGATATTACGCATATATTCCAATTATTTTTTTTCACAGATCCGGATAAAACGAGAGGAATCTGGAAAATTGAGGCAGAGTATTTTGGAAATAACGCGGAATCTATTGGATTTGGAGAAAAATGTTTCGGGGATTTTTTTAAGCTGAGAAAATTTCCAACAAAACATTCTCATACATTTTTTTTGTACACCCATTAGCTTGCGACGTTTCGCCGAAAGATTGTCTTCAGAATTTATCTCATTCCACTTCACTAGTGAATTTCCTTGGCTAATCCACTTTAGGTTTATTCCGTTGGAATCGAATAAACTTCCGTAATTATCTCACATTATCAGAGGACAGCTGCAAGGCTGATGACTCAACTCGCGAAATATTTCTTTTGTTCGTTCCTTCTCGAAATGCACTTTCATAATTCCTCACTCCATTTTCTATCCCTGAAAATCACAGGTATCTCGTATTACCCATGACTCGATTAATCCAAAAAAATCCTAATTACAACTCCCAGTCTACTGGTTTTATAAAAAACTCATCTACAAAACCTCGAGTACGAATCGTAATTTCAACATTAATTTTGTGTCTTCCTGCAGCAATTGTAGTTTATTTTAATTGCAACTTCATTTTAATTCGCCCCAATTTTTGTTTTTATTTAGGAATTAGTTAAATAAATTGGAGTCCAATCCGGGATTTTCGTCCTGTGGTGACCCGGAATTGTCGATTTTTTTTTCAGGTTTCCAACTTTTGAAATAAACAATTAAATATTCCGTCCTTGGGAAACGAGTTTTGTGGATACATTAGAGGGACTCCTTCTGAAATCTGAAATGACCCACTTTTTAGTACCTCAGAGGATATAATAGAAGCTTGCCTTCCCGAAAGAAATGGAAGAATTAATGAAAAATAATAAAAGGGAAAAAATAATGACCAAAATCTTATGCAAAGCTCCATATAGTTTTTCAAAATGAATTTTCTTCGGGCAACGGGAATTACAAGTACAATTGCAAAAACAAAATAGATGAAAATGAAAACAGAAAATGTTTTGAATTATTTGTATTGAATTATTTTTAATATTAATCGACTCTTCACTATCAATTCCTCCGACTCCTCTATTTCATCTGCAGCGTACGATCAAGAGGATCTATAAATACTAGAAAATGCGCGGTATGTTTCGCGTTATTCCTTTCCCAAAGAATCTAAAATTAAAGAGAATTCAAATAAAAAAATTACCGCCAAACAGATGCAAGTGCAGCTTGCACATGGCGAAATAATCGCAATGCACTCACAACATCTGAGTGATAGTATCGGGAATATTTCAAAAATATTTCTAAAATATTATTATTTTTTAAAAACTCTAAAAAGTGTTTAAGCCGTACAGCTGGAAATAAATAAATTGCATTTTTTTGAAAATACTGTGAGAAATAATAATAAACTCGAGAAAAATCACGTCGGATGATTAATTAACTCCAGAGGCTGAGAAGTTAATTAAATAAAATGTTAGACGCTGAGAGAAAATTATGTTTCAGGAATTATACTTTATCAGTCGTAATTTCAATGTTGATTTATTTTTCAGAAGATTTTCCATTCTTTAAGTCAAAGTTGTAGAATTTTTATATTTTAGATTTTATATTTGTTTAGATCAGATTGTTCGGTTTAGGCGAGATGTTTAGAATTAGATTCGCTAAATATAATGGCATTAACAATACTATTTATTATTCTCAATATTTGGTGATTGGAATCCATCAATATATAATTAATTGACAATTCAGGAGTGATTTCTAAATTAAAAAAACACAGGAATATTTGATTTCTTACACAAACAATTGTAAATTTTGAATTTGATAACTCCATTGATTCCACTGACTATTAAAAACTCTAAAGCTGCCCTTAAAATTTCAAGTAAAAAGCTGTAATTTTTAACAACAAAACTCTTCATCGACGAATTACATAATTCAATAAAATGATCCAGGAATTTTCAATTTTCAGATCGAATGGAAAAATCCCGCAGTAATTTCCCTGGACCTTCACTCCATTAGAAAATTCACTTAATTTCCCACGAAAATCCAATCCTCTCAAATTTTCTAGACAAATAATAAATTACATGAATATTTCAATTGAAATTGAATTAAAAGTCATGCAATCAGGAAACTCAGATGCCTAAAAATTTCAAGAAATTATCATTTACATTTAGCAATTAGCTAATTGATGAAAAATTGTAGTGATTGTGAAATTGAATGGAGAAGGAAAGGGGTGGATAATGCCGGGAGGGGGTGAATGGAGCCGGGAGGGGGTGGATGGACCAGGAGGGGCGGGTGGGGCGGGTGGTGGCGGGATAAATCGGCGAAGGGAGAGGAAAGAGGGATATCGATGATCTAGGGATCTAGGGATTTGTGGGCGAGAGGCGTTGGCAGAGGGAATACACCAAACAACAAAGAGGCATTTTACATCTCGTACAAGTGGGGAGAAGCCGAAGCTGTGCAACTGGTGAGACCTTTGGTAAAATTGTACGATAGTTTGAGGGGAAAAAAAAACCGGGCGCACGGGTAAACAAAAGAGATGGACCGTCTTCAGAGCGACGACAACCTGAAATAAGTGAGAAACCGTTGGGATCCTCTGCCTTTCTTCTCAACTCGATAATTCATCGATTTATTCCAAGAGGATACAACTGGAGAGGAATATCAATTTCTCTTTCTGCCAGTTGGAGCGTCCACGATGGCACTACAAGGTCTGTTTTTTTTTTATTATTTATTTATATCAATAATTCAATTATTTAGATCGAAGACTCATGATTTATCTGGCAATTATTTTAATTGCGGGAACACAGTTGGCAATTTTTATGTGAACAGACCACGCTTTTTTTATTATTCTGGAGTTTTTTTATGTTATTTCATTTATTTATGTCAATAATACAATTATTTATATGGAAGAGTCATATTATAGAAGGGAATTATTATTGAAATTGCGAGGATACAGTTGGAAATTTTCAGTTTTTCATTGTTCTGCAGCTTTTTTGAGTATTTTTTAATTTTTTAAATTTATTCATATCAATAATTGAACGATTTATATGAAAAAGTCATAATTGATCTGGAAATTATGGTTAGAATTATCGAAATACATTTCCATTTAACAAGAATTATAATATAGAATTCATTACCAATAATTATTAATATCAATTTTTATGAATTAATAAAACTGAAATATTCTGGTTTCACTGATTTTTCAAAAGATTGTTTGTACCTCTAAATTGCAATTCACATTTATCCGAATTCTCGAAATTTATCGGTTTTACGATAATTAAATTATTTAATTAATTACGTTAATTTTCCTAAGATTTCCAACCTTTCACTGCAATTAGCCCCGAAATTTCGCCAAAACTATTGATAGTTTATGAAAAATCCAAGTCTTCCAGAGTCTGTCAAGAAAAAAAAATTGAATCCAATGATGTGCAATCGTGAATTTTCGATATTTCCAAAAACCGGTGAAATCTCCTTGTGCCATCCCACTGCACCACTCATTCATATCTCCAACATTGCTCCGCATTCCCAGAAATCCACGAACAACAACTCCTCCCTTCCCCGTTGCAATTCAAATTTCAAGTAATCTGCTGCAATTCCGGCCAAATGTAATCAGATCCCCTGAAATACTGAGTCGCACTCCACCTCTACTCCAAGTATTTCCCCTCCGGAATGCAGTTGAACGATATTGCCGCTTGATTTTATACCCTCGAGTGTATGTACACGTGAACGAATGGACTAAACACTTTCCAGTTGCCGCTTTATCCCCGAGGTGAACACACCTCGAACCCCTCCCACTCCCTCCAAAATTCTGCTATTTTAAAAGTGATAAACAAAACAAAAAAATCTGTCGTACCAAAAAAATTGGGAAAATGGTGTTTTTTTCAGATTCCCACAGCGGATAATCCTACCAGGAAGTGATAACATCGATTCCATAAGTGATAACGATTTGTTATTTTTTTTTGTCGTTGGAAAGATGGAGAAAAAAATGAGGAGAGAGACGTCGATTAGGATCGCCGATACCGTGGATAATACATCGGGGAAAGTGTTTGAGTACAATGTAAACATGAGTGTCTCCTTATCGAACAGCAAGAGATCAAAGATTTTCCAAAGAACCCAGAGTTTAGTTATTGTTTTAATGACTGTTGCATTTTTTTTTATATTTTCACAACTGAAGAGGGAGGTACGGGTCTTGGAAGCACAGGTGAGGCAATATTCTTTACGCATTGCACATTTTTCATTCATTTATTTATATGTTGTTAATTCTCACTCGTGAAATCACTTCTGTCATTAAATTTTCAATCTATTATAATAACTCCGTCACAATACTGTTTTTGAATGATGTTTTATTCCAAAAATATTATGTGCTCATTGCATTCGATTATAGAAGAAAAATCCTGAAATTATGAAAGTTTTTCTGATTTCTCTGAAAAGTTGTCAATTTTTTGGTATTTCGAATTAATTCAGAATGCCAATGTTTATCAACAAAATTCCAGTAAAGTAATTCTAAAATTTTAAAAATCAACAACTTCTACTCAAAACAAGTGCCTCAAAGTTTTCCGGAATTTATAACGAAGAAAGATACGAGAAATATTTGCCAAAATTTTCAACAATCCAGCAAAAACCCCGGGTATTAGATCACTGATGTGACACACTATCCTAAATAGTCTCTCCAGTGTCACCATAAGGCACGTTCTGATTCAAAAATCTCATCATGACGTGATATATCAGATATCCCGAGAAACAAAGCCTCAGAAGAAAGTAGATTAACAAACAAAAATAGTTACCAGCTGTCATCAAATATGATTATCAGTGACAACGGATTTCTTTCAGATGAATTCAATGAATTCGAACCTTGTGATTCTCATGTTGAGATACGAAAGGTTGAACAGGATAAATCGGTGGAGCTATCGAAACCCTCTGATTCATGTGGAATCCCCGAAGCTCATCAACGAAGATTCTAATGAAAGTGAAGATGATGAAGACAATCTCTCGAGTAAGGGATTATTTCAACCGAGCAGAATCGAGAGATCGGTTGTCATGGTTGACAGGAGTAATTTAACTGACGTTACGAGTGACAATCAGACACTTTGGAGTGATGCACGTGGGGGAAGATCTAAGAGGGAGGAGGTCAGAGGTAAACAACGAAGAAAGATCAAACGGAGGCCTAAACGCAGTCGCAGGCGATTGGGTACACTTGGACGATTATTGTTATTAAATATCATGATCGATTGATTATTGGGTTGCATTAATCCTTCATCAAATCAAACATGTGAATTGAAGAAAATATTCACCACCATCAATTCAATCCATGAAAAATTATTAATGAAATATTTCGTCAAAACGTTCAATGGAAAATGAAAATTCTATTTTGATCTTCAATTATCGTGTTCATAAGTGAGAGAATTATTGCAAAGTCCCAATTGATGTGACTAACGACTCGAGGCGTTTGCTTGCTTGACTAATCAATTAGTTATCGATCAATTGTTTCAGTCTCGAATGTTTGGTTTTTTTATTGAAGGACCGTTGGTGGCTACATTCGTCGGTGCTGTGCCTGAGCAACACGTCACAGATACAGGTAGTTGTACTTGAAAAGTATTAGAAATCAATAATTTATTTTGTTATTTACTTCTCGAATGGAATTTAATGAAGATAATCATCCCTGAATCAATCCAGAAATATACAATTCATTCAGATTGCGTTCAACAAAAACACCTGAAGTATCAATTTTAATTAGTACTAACTGGGAGAAAAAAAAATAGAAGAGTTGAGTAATAATGAAGACAAACAGAGAATCGATTTGGAAGTGAATAGCAAAATTATTCACACCAATAATATAATAATGATGACCAGTAATATAACAATGGAATTATCGTTTTGACATTGTCCTCTCCTTCTGGATAATAAAATTCATCTTGAAATCCTTCAGTCTACATCGGTCCTTGGGTGAAACGCAACGAGACTCGATATGGCTTCAATAAATTCCATCTGGTCGAGGACAAAAGATCCATTGAAGTAACTGCCAATGGACTGTACATGATCTCAGCTCAAGTGAGTAAGAAGCTATCATTCACCTTTGTCCTATCAATTCCGTTGATTCGGTGAGAAAAACCTGTGGCTTGACAGATATATTACTACGGGGAAAAAACTCATTACTCTTACTGGATTCTACTGAGTTCCGAGGGCTCATCGACAACGCGGAAAGTTATAAAATGTGCAACTGTATCAGCTGTTTCTGCCACTGAGGCTTCTTGCTACACTAGTGTTATTCTGCCTCTCAGGAGAGGGGACAGGCTGCACATACAGCAACAGGAACGTAATCGGTAATTTATTTTATTATTACTTGAATGATCAATGAGATAATCGAGTGGGGGGTCGAAACAGAGAATTTTCAGTGAAATCATTCCAGTCTTGCTCGATATCTCTTGAGAAAATCAATCGATTGGAATAAATCTGTTGAATTACAATCTTCCAATCTGGAGATATTTATGATTGCGTAAATGCATTTTTTATAAATTCATTGTAATTAATTGAATTTTCTATTTAGGCTCATTAATTTGAGGGAGGGGCACAGTTACGTTCAGGTGACATTACTATCCAGCGATCAGCAAAAGAGACGATTGACCACATGATATCAACTAGTCCTTCATCGCCATAAGCATCTCGTTATTTTTTATGTTTAAGCGATTTATCTTTTGTAATTAGGGAAGTATGAGACGAGGATTGTCTCGATCAATAGCTGAACGATTTCGAACAGAAAATGCACAAGTTCTTCCGGAGTATTTACCCCTTCATTTGTAAATTCTAATTAACGTACAATTATCCCTGAAATCGACTCGTTCATCTATTGATCAGATCACCTCAAAGATTTCTGTGGTTGTCAGCCATAATGATTCAGCTGCATTGTGATTACCTCACCATAAACGAGAAAACATCAGTCATTTTTTAATTGTAATTTTTAATATCTCCTTACGACAATAACTCAAGTATTAAGACTGTCATGAGCACAGAAGAATGGGTCGAACAACTTCTACGTCATATATTTCATTGAAATAATAACAAAACAGTTGACAAATAAAGGCATTTTTACCGTTCAATCTTTATTTTCGTTAACTGAATGACTTATAATTCACCATTACTCATCATCATATTCTCCATGGTTTCGATACGTTCTCCTGGTGAAAATGTATCAATTATTGTACATTCGAGGCTGAACTGCTGGTCTTTTGGTAAAGCCATGCACCAGTCATGTGATCGCAGGCTCTCAAGTCCTCTTGAACGAGTCAATGGCGTTTTTATCCTAGAGAAAAATCAAATCTTTAGTTTCACGCATTTTATTTCAAATCAGAGTGAATTATCCAGTGACCAAACGAATCCAATAACTCAAATACTGGATAATTCCAGGCAAAAGGCAATTCCTTAAATTCCAAATATTTTTTTTTTTTCCATCAAACGATTGATCCACTGGACAAGTTCGTTCACAGGACGATTCACCCCATAAATAAATCGTATGAAATACTCATAGAATTAAAATTAGAGAGCTCTTGAAATCTAGAGAATTATTAAGAGACAGCAGGATAAAAGCCCCTCGGCAACGTTCAACATCTTAGATACGAAACCATATATTTTTTTGTCGTCTGAAAGCCTTGAATAAATTGTCAATGATGGCGATTTTGAAATTGCACCGAAACATCCTGAGATATTGACGTTTGCAGAGGAACCGTTTCACCTCGTCCTTCGAAATCAATTTATCTATTTTCTCATTCTCTTGACTGATTTTTCCTATCTACCTATCGAATGGAAATCTCGTGTTTCGCACGTACCAAATAGTCAGTATAGCATACTTTTTTTTTTAATCGTTATTGATCAATTTTTGTGTTCATTGTCGCTCAACAGTTTCTGCGTTGAATTTCACGTTAAAATAAATCTATCTCTCATGACCATGCTTTCATCAGTAAATGAATAATCATCAATAATGAGTTAATGAGACCTGTGCGAAACTCAATGAGTTTCAAGAACAAGGAATTCCATTGGTTTCTTCAGATTTGTAATTTTGGTTGAACTGTTCAAGTGCATTAGGCTTTCTTGGCTTTTTTTATTTAATTATCTTACAACTATCTTATCTTGTGGTTTTCATGAATTGATCACAAACAAATTACGGATATATATTGATTTATTGGTTTACTCACCTGATTAAATCGGTCACCGTAGTTTCTTATTTTGCATTTTCTTATGTAATTAAGAAGTTCAGCATTTTACTTTACTGTATTTGTTTGTTTGTTCTTTCTTTTGGATTTTTTTCTCTTTTCACTCGGTTTCATTGGTTTATTCGTCTCTTTTCGTATTCGATCATTCCATTTTGGCTTTTTATATTTGATTTTTATCCTTCATTTCCAATAAGGCAAGTCTTATATTGGCTTTTTATTTAAAAGGGGAATCACATGAAATTGGAGAAGCCTGCGATTTCAATATTACTGTCATCGGGTTGTCAAATTTTCAAAGGAATTCTCTTCTGTCATCAGGGGAGAGTCAGTGGAGGCAATTATTTCTTTAAATTAATCAGTCATAGGTAAAAGTAAAAGGAATCATTTAAAGCAGTAAAATTTGTGTCCTTATCATTCTGAAAATGTGGTTTTGGGCTTAAAAATGAGATCAAGTCATTTTTCATGACAATCACTTCGAAATGGCAGTATTTCTCCATCCCAAAATGATCTCCCCTCACCAAAATCACAGTAAAAAAATGAAATAAAAACAATGAAATTCATAATGGAAATGTGATGTCCATCAGTGGATGATTGTGGACAACGATATCTTAGTTTTCTTTATCAAGTGCAGAATACCTACGTTCTCTCATTAATTCTCTCATAAATTACTTGCCACTGTTTAACGAGACGCCATTATAGCCCCCATTATTGCGTTGCTCTCAGTCTAATGGATTTCGCTGGTTTCCTATTCGGCAGTTTAGCTGGTTTAGCATGAATTAATAATCATCTCAATTCCATTCATTATAGTGGTCAATGATTTTTTTCACTCTTGTGCAAAGGGGTGAGGAGGCAATGAAAAAAGGGGAAATTGTTCTTCTTATGTTCTGCTGATGATTTCTTTATCGTCATCTTATCTTCATATTTTTTTCAGCTGTCATTTCATTCTCGTCATACACATGTTCTAAATTGAATTATCTTCGAATTAAATTTAAGAAAAATGATGCATCGACACATGAATTTCCTCCTTCATTGTCAGGAAAATTCAATAAATCATACATAAAAGGCGATATTTTTGATACTTAATCGTGAGTGTTTTTCTCATGTAATTGTCAAGTGTCTTTCATTACCTACGAAAAACAAAATAATCGTCATTTGTACATGGTTTTCATCCACAATAAAATCATACCTCGGCACTCAAAATAATCTAGTTACCCTAGCACTTAAAGAAATTTGTTGATATTCTTCAATTCAATCAATCGCTGTTCTAATGAGTGGTGACTATTTAAAACGTAAAGAGAAATATTTAAAAAAAAACAACTAAAGATGATGATGATTCAGTAAATTTTCATTCTTAAAATGATTTTCTCCATGAAAATGATTATGTTCATTCACAATTAATACATATCCATCTAAATTCATTTTATACAATTTTCGGTGTTTTTATTTCAGTTCAGAGAATAAAAAGGCTGACACAAGAAGTTCATTCTTATGACAATTAAACTGTCAATGCAAGACTTAATTATAAAACACTCTCGTTATTGTTCATGGTTTTTTATGTTTGTGGTTCTATTTATATCTCGAGCCTATTTTCTGCCTAAGGTTTTGAAAATTTCCAGGTGACAATTATCGAGATAAATATTCTACTTGTTGCAGTTGAAAATTAATTCTAAATGTAATAATCTTTGTCACTGGCAATTCGTCAGGTGTTTCGAACGATTAATCAGTAATAATTAGTAAAAAATCAGTGTTCTAAATTTGAAAGTTCAATATTTTCAAAGTGATGAATTCAATATTTATTCTTTCTCCTGCTAGTTTATATTTTTTTAATTTTTATATTAATAGTGTCGCTGGGACTGGGTGTATTCGTAACCAGCACTGCCACCTGCGAACATTAGCCTCTCTGGTAATTCATCTCATTGACTTCCGAATAATTCTTCAAGTCTCATTTTCAACATTTCGACTTATTATTTCAGCAGTTGTGCATTTATTGGAGGTCTCATCGATCCTTTACAAGTCGAATTTATAAATCAAAATTCTACGATCCTACGGATTATTTTCTCATCGAGACAGAACAAAAGTTGGCAAAACAAAATATACAGTGAGATTTTAAAAAGTTATTGTCCCATGAGTTTATGAATTTTCTCACTGGGTTCTCCCCTTCGCTCTCTGGATTTTCAGATTTTTTTTTTTCAATCTCCGTCAAATATTTCTGATTGCGTACTTAATTTAATATTATGGGTTCGAAAATTTGTACCGATACTAGTTTAGGTTTCTCGCTTCATTCAATAGTATTGGCTTTCAACTGCCTGGTACTTACCGTAATCTTGTTTTCCGTAACCACCATCTTGAGTCGAATAATCTGAAAAAGCAATCAACAAATTATTACCTAATCAACTGATTAACAGGCGACATAGAATGCACCATTAAAATGTAGGAGAACAGCGAGTAAAGACTCCTTGCTCCACAGAAAAATCATTGATAAATTAAAATTTAATTTCTCCTTCATTGAACTTTTTCATGAAGCAAGTGATTCCTTTTTCTCTGAGTTTAAGACTGTTAATTACTTTGTTCTCGATGTAGAGGGATTGTGGGAGAAAATTCAAGAGACATTTTCTGCAACTGAAATTTTAAATAAATAATACTGTACCATACAATGAACAATTATTCTGTCAATTGCTCTGTAAACTAGTGTTATTATATAAAAATAGAAATAATATTACGACATAATATATAATTAAAAAAATAATCAATATAAATTTGCGAATACATTTGAAGTTTCTTTTCTTTTTAAATTATCGAGATCTACTGCACACTCCGTGCGCCGAATTTCAATTTGGCGGTGCGAATTGACCAATGAGAATACGTCCTACGCGTTTCGAAATATTTCGACTCCGGCAAACTTCATTTTTGTGTTTCAACTTTCAACTTTCATAATAAGGATCTTATGAGTTTACGGAGCAAATGTCTGATAAGTGGGCGGAATTAGACAATTTAGAGGAAGAGGAGTGAGGATTGAGAGGAAACAATAATACTAAATAATTCTAGGGACTAACCGTAGCCGTGTGTCGTGTAACCACCGCTTCGGCCTGTCATAACGCTGGGATTGCAAGACTGATCGTCATAAGGATTTCCAGGGGGGTAACCACCGCCACCATCATCACCACCACCGAGTGCAGGAGCAACTGCTTCCTGTTGGTAATTCACTGTCCAACCCACACATTAATATCAATTCTATTGAGTCCTCACTTCACAGACATGCAAGTTCCAAAAGAAATAAACAGTAATTTTACCTTGTGGTGGTGCCTTTCCATAATTGTAAGGGTCTGCATTGAATCCACCAGCTGCTGGCGCCTGAACGTATCTGTTATCTGCTGGTGCCTGAGCGGCGTATCCCTGTTACAATAATTAAGAATTTTTAGTATTTCTCAGAAATTAATTTGAATTTATAAAAAATATCTCCCCATTTGCAATGAATTTGGTGAATCGAAATTACTTAAAGGCAACTTGGCTACGATAATTTATTTACATTGATTTACTTCTTAATTAATTAGATAATTCGTTTTTCTACCAATTATTGTAACAGCAGGGGTCTTTTTGAAAGATCATAAAAATGTAAAAAAAGGAAAGGAGCCTAACGATAATATATTAGCAACTCTTCAAGCACTGCGACAAATTCATCGACCACACCATAATTATCATTAGTTACCGCGGCTTGTGTGTAATCCGATGGTTGCTGATAACTGTCGTAGCTCTGATATGTTGTCTGTTGATAACCACCCTGGAGTGGTCCATATCCAGTGTTGCCGCCACCTGGTGCCCCATATCCGGTCACCTGGGGCTGCTGAGGTTGGCTGTATCCGTTCCCAGGACCTCCATATCCCTGACTGACATATGACGATAAATTAATTGAGCTCAATGAATTAATTAACAAGAGAGTAACCAGCCGACTTTTCATTAGACTTTTTCATATTTCTTAGACTTCAAGATATTTCTCTAAAAATTACTTCTACTTTTTATGCAGAAAAATAGAATTCTTACGTTCATAATTGTTTACTAATTGATTGAATCACTTGATTGAACGAACAGATATTTGTCAAGAAAAATAATTACTTGGCGGGCTGTGTGGCATATCCATTAGCGGGTTGCTGTGGGGGTGGTTCGTATCTGGGGCGTTTTGGTGGTCCACCAACGCCTGGAGGTCTTCCTCGTTTCATTGGTCCACCTCGACCTCCACGATCACTGCCTCCTCCTCGTCCACCTCGATCACCGAATGATCCTGGACCCCCACGACCCATTCCACCTCGTGGAGCGCCTCTCGAAAATCCTCTGAGAAAATATTTATAATTCATGGAAAGACATTCAGCGTTGAAAATAGAAAATTTGAGAAGACGAACGTGAAAATGAGAAGAAAAATCATCACCCTCGAGGATGAGAAATATTTTAGTGATCTTCCGCGGTATAAATTTTGTAATACGAAGATAAAAAAAATAGCTCACCCATACCCGGAGCCTCGTCCCCCTCTGTCTGATCCACTTCCACGTCCACGGAATCCTCCACCTCGACTGTCACTCCTGGAGAAGTCACCACGTCCTCGCCCCCTGAATCCCCCTGGACCTCCTCTGGATCCACCTCTCATGGGTCCACCCATACCTGGTGGTGGAGGAGGACCACCACCTGGACCTCCAGCTAATCCAGGCTCTGGAGGGCCTCTAAAAATCATAAATTCATGAAAAATAACTCTTGGCAAATGAATTCATCAACAGAGGTAGAGAATACCAAGTCGACTTCTTCTGGACTTCACTTTTCGGAGAATATCACCCAATCTAAGAAAGATAGGGAATTTTTTTATAGCACAGATTTTGTGGAGTGGAATGAGATCTCTAGATGAGGCTTTAACAAATAGTATTTTTCACGCCTAGGACGGAAAAAGGGAATCTGACGATTGCGACTTTATAGTCCGAGTCGGAGACGAGGATTATAACGCGCATGAGTCAGAATCACTTTTTTCGCCGTGGCTATGATGCTATTTTATGTCATTGTGGCCGAATACGCGTTTTTATCCAAGCGAAGCGAGGTTAGAAACGCGTTTTACCGGCCGCAATGACATAAAATTTTGATAGCCCTCTTAGATTCGGAGATATTTGTTATTAATTATGAAAGCTCGTGAGTCAGTCTTACCCGGGTGGATAGTGTCCACCTCTGCCTCGTCCTGGGGGCCCCCCACGTCCGCGCATACCTGGGGGACTGCCTCTCATGGGCCCAGGGCCTCCACAACGACCTCTCATTATCCCACCTCGTACTGGGCCACCCCTTCAGGTTTAATTAGAAATATTTAGTTAATTATCTGGAGATATTTGATTTCATCATTCAAAAAAAATTATTAAATGAAAATTATTATATTAATTTAATTGATATTGCTATTATTTTATTCATAATCATATAATGGAGTCGATTTTTTTTATTCAAAAAATGCTATTAAATTTTAATTCTTATCATATTACAGGTACACGGCAATTTCCAGGAAATTAAATTCAACGATTACTTTTCCAAAAAAATCGATTTGATTGATATTCTCCAATAAATCGTACAATACCCCAGAAAATTTGAATTCTCCCATCGAAATGACAAATACAGACAGTAAAGCTTTTCGGAATAATCATAACTTCCCCTTAAAAGAAGTGTTAAAAACTCATTTTTTTAAAATTGATAACTCACCTTCCCCTATCTGCGAAGCCCCCACGACCCCTCATGGGTCCGCCAGGACCCCCTCGACCCCTGAAACCACCGCGACCGGGAGGTGCACCGTCCATTCTCTACAATCCAAAAAAAAGAAACAGAATTACACCATTATCCGATCCCTTGCCCGCAGGAATTTCCCTCGTGCATGACCAGACCCCCGATATTCTCCCCTGGAGATGCAAATTCATCGATAAAATCCAGTATCAAAGAGGTTAATTCAGAAAACCCCTCGTACCGCCAACCAAAAATTCCGAAACTACTCATCAGACAGTGAATATTCGGGAAATCCAACACAAGTGGGAGTTGATTTGAGATTGGAGAGTGTTTCGGTACTTACTTTAATGCAAATTTCTCAATTTCTTTTTTAATAATCCCTCGAAGTGATGTGAAGTCGGTGCACACATATAAACACACTGAATAATTACGAAGGAGAGGGGAAAATGGACGCCGGTTTGAGATTTGAGTCGGCGTTGCGTCTCGTTCCCGAATGCACCGGTGCGCACCCCCTCTGCGCATAGAATTGTAACATCCTCCGCCATATTCGATAAAACCCGGAAGTTCCGTCTCCCGGGAAATTCGAACCAGTATATTTTCGCCTGTAGGAGAGAGGAGGATAAAATTATGGCTTCAGCTAAAACTCATTCCTCAATAATTTTTGATACTTAAATGACTAGCCCTTACCCTCAAAAGCCTCCACCTAAATTTATGCAATGCATTGACAAAACGAAAATTTTGGGAGGTAGGTGGGTAAAATGGGCTTTCCTCCCTCTTACGATTTTTTTTCCCAATGGTCTCGAATTGATTCGTCGAACCGAAAAAACAACTAATTTCTGCTTCATGCAAATAATTTTTAAGTATGTATCAATTAAATTTAGTATACAGAGTAAAAACTCCGTGTTAATTAATTAAATGTGGAATTTAAACACTCATCAACTCATCAATTAGTACTAAAAAGATCAGGACGTAAATTAAAAATTTTTGTGAAATTTCCTCAAATTTTCATGATAAAAAAAATGATTAGCAATTTAATGATATATTATATTACATATTGACGCACGTTTTTTTAACGCGTTTTTCACTGAATGTTATCTAATTTTTTAAATGAAAATGTACTTTGTGTGAAATGTAAGAACTAGGGCAATTAAAAAATCAATTCCCCATTGGACCCTCACAGATGTCTCCGCAATCGTGAATGACTTTAAAATCCGCAATTCGCAAAATCCGCGGTGAAAATGCCCACCCCCCACCTCAACGAATCCCCTCATCCGATCCCATTCAATCCCCAATTATTGGATTTCCCCCGATTCATTGATCGTCTCCAAATCATCGCCTCCCAAAATCCCTACGAAAATCCGCACCATTGCGACCCGCGTACTCGACAATTTCTAAAAGTAACTCATCGCCTCCGTCGTCACGATCTAGTTTATAGCTGCCATTACTAAAATAAAATAGGGATTACATTCCCCGCCCGTTGCATCTGCAATCCCCAATAGTCGATTAAACAATCGACTGTAATGCACCCCATCACCACCCCCTCAATTGT